CCCCAAAACCCCAAAACCCCAAAACCCCAAGAAATAATAACTCTCTCTAATTGGGAGTTTATCAAATAAATTAAAATCTACCTGCTATTAATGTATTATTTATAATACTATATTTATTATGCAAAGCACCTTATCACTAGAAAGCAGCACTAAGTCTGAGTATTTGACCAAACTTTTGGCAATCACTGACAATCAGACTTTCATATCGCATGTATTAGATCACTATTTCCTATAGAATCTAAATGAGTATTTAAAAGGAAATGAACAGGTTTAATTACAAGAACTTAATGAGAAAATTCTTCAACTTAGTGATTAATATAGAACATCAACTGAGAACTATCTAGATCTTATTGAGACTCTATTTAGCATTTTCTTAAGAGATAATATGTCAGGGCCTAGCGTATATACCCTCTATGTAGAGGAAACAAAGGCCCCACTTATTAAGGGAGGACCATTACCAGATACTCTTCTAGATCCACTCTCAAATAAAAATCAAGCATTATAGGACCTATTACTTCAGCATTTCGAGAAGGATAGTGAATAGATCTACCTGAAGACTTAATTCCTTGTTTTATTTTATGCTATTGAGATCTTACTCACTAATATTCATACTTCAATTGAACATCCTCAATTCAAGCTATGGAAAGCAAGGTACTTTTATTTGCATGATTAGTAATTGACATCAAGTGTGGCACATCTTAAAGATAACTCCATCAAACTATATGAGGAGTATCTCTAATATTTCTTAGAGTAATATGAAGCAAATAAGTCTTAAACAATGAAAAATACCTATGTCTAGCTGCTTATAGAGCAATCATATTGCTATCTGAACTTCTACAAATATAAGAAATGCAAAAAGTGCATTAAGGACGCCATGAAAATTCTTAATTTAAATTTAACACTGACTGGCAGACTTGGTCGTAGGACGAAATATTAAGAATTTGATATTGCTTAGTTAGTACTCGATATTGACAATAGAGATGTATAAATAATTGAGTCAAAGCCTGAAGTTGTATCAGCTGATGGTGAAGAAACTAAATAGCAGAAGGTATTACTTGAAGAAGATACTATTCTTTATGAAGAGCCAAAGATCACTGATCCATAAGGGGAACTAACTAAAAAGGAACTGAGTGTCGAGGATTAACTTGTTATCTTGGCCTATGTAAACTATGTGACAAAAACTCATCCAAAAGATGAAACAAGAATGGAACTCCTTAGACCCTATATCAATGCATGCACAGAAAAATCTAATAATTGGCTAGTCTTCTCTTTTGCACTATTACATAGATCGAGAAATGAACTTGACAGAACAAAGACTATGGAGAGAGCTCTGCTATAAATCCAAACTCTGATTGATCAGTTCAGAGACAAGGAGCCAAATACAGGAGTAAGATTAGCAAATTATTTTTCAACTGACTACCCCTTACACTGGCAAATGTAGAAAGAGTTAGCCAAATACTATATGAAAATCGGTGTCTATGTATCTGCCTATGAGATGCTAAGAGAGGTAGAATTATATGAGGACTGTATTTTGTCAATGTTTATGGCCGGAAGATCTAAATTAGCAGAGGAACTTGCTGAAGAAAGACTTGAAAAATCAAAGCTAGCGTAACCAAATATACTTTGTCTACTCGGAGATATAAAGAAAGATGTTTCATACTATCAAAGAGCTTGGGAAGTGTCTGGACATAAAAGTGCAAGAGCTATGAGAAGTTTAGCTAGAATCTAATATTTCTAAGGAGAATTTAAGAAGAGTGCAGAATGCTACGAAAAGGCATTATCAATTAGCAGATTATACCCAGATGCTTGGTTTACTCTTGGCTGTGCCTATATGAGACTAGAAGAATTAAAGCAAGCTGTTTACGCATTCGGAGTTTCAATTTCTATTGATGAATCCAACTGTGAAGCTTGGTCTAATATCTCAACCTGTCAGATGAGAATGGAAAAATATAAAGAGGCAGTTATGTGCCTTGAATAAGCATTGAAGCATAATAGAAAGAACTGGAAGATTTGGGAGAACTATATTATTCTATCAATCGAGACTTTGAAATTCTATAAGGCTGTAAGTGCTTCAAGAGAGCTAATGAGAATGGATATGACTGATAGGTTAAATGTAGGATTAATGCTAAAAATTTGTGATGTCTTCTTAAAGAATTATGTAGCCAAAGCAGGAACGCCATTTGAAGAATTCAATATTGCCAAAAAGCAGCTTTATGCTTTCTTTGACGATTATACTGAGAAGGTAGCAAAAGATTGGCAAGTTTGGAGACTCATATGCAGAATTAAGTCAATTTTGAAGGAATCACATGAGAATATCAAAAGCATTAAGCTGAAGGAAATCAGAGCTCTATAAAACATAAACTGGGAAAATGATATGTAAGTTTATCTTTTTTAATATGTGTTAGTGATACTTGTGAAAAGATAGAGAGAAGTGTGAACGAATTCGTCTAGATGAAGGCAAATGGGGAAATAACAAATGAAGAGATGGTATTTGTAAGGAATACAATAACTGCTATTGAAACTTGCCTACAAAGGAAAACAACTATTGAGCTCTGATAAAAGTGCATAGATTGAATAATAATTAGCTATCCTTAATGAAATTAATTTCTTAAATTTATTCATAACCAATTAATAGTGCTTTGATATCATTTGTTTTATAATATTCGAAATTTTTTTAATGTTGTAGCCCAGTCACCATGCAAATCATCATATAATTCCTACTACTTCCATAATGCAATATTCTTTGAAAAATGTTTATTCTTAGAGTTCTTTACATAATAATCCTCTGGTAGTAAAGGGTCCACATCATATTTCATATCTCCAAATTACTTTTTGATATTGAAGTAATGAAACTCTTCTAAATCTTTATCAAGATTCTTAAGCATCTTATTTTGGTTTCCAATTTCCTCATCCAGCTTAGTTACTAATTCTTAATTTTGTTGTTTGTCCAATTTTTCCATAAGAAATTCCCTGAATTTTTATCCAACCTTTCCATTTGATGAGAATGTTCCCATGTTTGATGGAGACCCTGTATTTAGAGACTACTGGGCAATATCAGGAGAGTCTACTCTCTCAATCGAAACTTTCCTATAGCTCTTTGGCGATAAACTAGGTGATGTATCAGGAGATTAATTGATAACCTTTCCTAAATGAGCCTACTTTTGCTTGAATTGTTAATTAATAATCTTCCATTTATTGAACTTTTTTTCTTTCAAAAGCCTTAACTTTCTTTCTATTTCCTCATGCTCTTTTATAATCTCCTCTTGTAGTTTATTAATATCCTACATTTTTAAGTCAATGTTGTTTTTCTTTTCATCGAATATAGGCAGGAGTAGGTGGTTTTTTACCTGATATTTCATTAAAATGTCTTTGATTATCTTTCTATAAGTCAAATCTATAGCTCTCATATTTGGATCTATGTAGCCACCTTTTGAATCTTCTAACTTCTAGGAAAGTATTTCTCTAGCCTTTTACTCATCCAATAACTTTTAGTAAAGGAGTGAATTTTTATCAACTATAGTCCTATCATTTTGCATAAAGAATTCAAAATCATGTTAATAAGTCCCGTTAAGACTGCATTTAATCCATTTATTAACTTTGGCGAAATTTTTATGTAGAAGTTTCTTCAGATTTGTTATTTTGATATGCTTTGGTATATTGTACATATCTTGCTCCAGTTTGAGAATATTAATTTCTGCCTTGTTTAGAATTTTTTTAGAATCAAGATTGTATTTTTCTATGTTTAATAGCTTTTAATTCAAAGGTAGATTTTTTATCATGTTCATTTTAGGACCCTTTTTCTATTAATTTTCTTGCTGTAATTTCTTCTACATCTCCTCATATTCTGCAAGCTCCGGGTTATTTTTTAGAAACTCTTTTCTACTCTTATCGATTTTCATGGCAATTATTAGACTTTTAAGATTTTTATTCATTGCCTTCATATTTTGCTTGTCTAGGCTACAAGGACTTTACGAATCTTAATAATAAGTAGTATTATCCATATCTTTATCATCGACTTACTGACTTAGATTGCCTTTTGAAATAATTTCTAGTGTTTTCTGATTTCTTAAGGGACTTAAACTATTAAACATTTCACGGGTTCTATCTTCTTCTATTAAAGACTCCTTTCACTAAAGTTTAAGATTTATTGCGAATTGCTCTTCTAAATTCTAATCTTGGATAAGGTCATTAAATGTCAAGTTCTACATTTCACATCCTCTATTTTCCTTATGATATAACTTGTTTCTCTACTCAGGTGATAACTACATAATCTCTCACAGATTAAGTCGTTTTTTCATCATTGTTTGGTTATCTGGTTTTAATTGATTTTATTAGGGGTTTTAGATTTATTTTAGACTTTCATCATTTATCTTGATCTCTATCTCTTTTATTTCATTTGTGCTTGCGTCATCAAAATGATTAGAAGTTTTTTAATTCCCTATTTCTTTTTTCTCATTAGCTTATTAGATTTTATTTGTTTTCCGAATTGATTCTTTTCTTGCAATGATATTTTCTTTGATTACCTCTAATCTACTCACAGATTTCCTTCTACTTAACTCTTCTTCATTACTTTTATTCAATACTTCAGTCATTTTGTTCTTTTCTATTTAACCCAGATAAATCAAGGTGTCTGTATCAAAATCCAAATTTTTATCTTCATTCTCATCCTCATCAATCATCCCAAAAAGGATATTTTATTTATTTTTCTTCAGCTTCTTTGTAATTATATTGCAAATGATTGAACTTGGTTTTTCCCGATCTGAATCATGTGTTCCATTTTTCTGTTGGTACATTTTAAGATAAGGCTTATTCTGAACTTGAGTAAAAATCTAATTAAGATTCATATTCTCTGGCAGAGCATTTTACTTCTCAAAAATTTTCTGCTACTGTTCGTACTAGTTCTTTGAATCTTTAACATTAAATCTTTTCGAGACAGACTTTCGTCTCGCAATATTTTCAAATAAATTATAAGCATCTGTAGTGCTGCTTCCACCTTATGACATCAAGTCAAAAGTGCTTGCGTTTCAAGATTAGCCAAGAGTACTGAAAGAATAAGATGGTATTTTTATATCTGAAGATGTGGATGGAAGTTAGCTTTCATTTTTCAAAGCCAGATAACCTATTTCTGTGCCCTTTCTATAGGATTACTTTACTTTCTCTTTGATTTATGGTAGCTACAATGCTTAAGCAGACTTAGTATTTTCCAAATTTATTGCAAAATCATTCAGTGGGAGACTATCAGCTCTATCTCAAGCGCCTTGGTAATATTACGATGGCAACAAATTACCTGAAGAAAACTAACTAATTTTACTTAATCTTGGCGCTTGATTTGTAGTTTTGTTGAGGGAATTTAGGTTATTTCAAGAGCGAGTACTATTCTTAAGTTACTATCGAGGTGGCGAGATATTTACTAGTTTATCAGGGTTTTATTGGATGTAGCTATTTTGATATATATTCTCCATGATGAATTATTGATTGATATTCGATATTTTACTCTAAACTCTGTAATCGATTAGATAAGCTATAAACTTGGCTTGTTTTATATTTAATCTAATATGATTGACAAATATCTAACATATTACATATTCTTATATTAAGGGGTTTTGGGGTTTTGGGGTTTTGGGG